TCACGGCTGCTCAGCTTGGGCTGACTCGAACCGCTGTTGCTCAGAGCTCAAACTCTTGAGCGAGCTCTTAACCAACTGAGCCACTCAGCCGGCCCTGAATTGTCTTTTAAAGGTGAAGGTATGCTAGGCAAATCCTCAGGCATAAAATATCTCAACTCTCTTGCTGCCCAGTGAGTGACCCCATCTGAAAACACTGCACCATTAGAGGAAGTATAAGAAAGCTGTATCTACAAATTTGCTGTATAATGTATGGGAGTTGAAAGTGATCAACTAGCTTATGAAAGTATACTCGTAGATGCGGTAACATCCAAAAACCAAAAAAAATGAAAACCCAGAACCAAAGTTCGGGACAATGCCCAGGAAGTGAGGCTAGGGGTGGAGATGAAAGGAAAATGAAAACATGCGTTTGTCCACAGAAGACGGGAAACACGGATAAGTTTACGAAAGCAACAGTAGTAAGCAAACATGAGTTCAGAAACTTCAGAGCAAACAAAGTAAAAACAAAAATAGGATTTATAACTTTTAAGCTAACGGAGGCAAAAGAAATCGATCCAGCCTGTGGAATGGAGGAAAAGAGACAAAAAAATTTTAAAGTGTTTAAAATGTGATGCGATTTATCACCTCCTACGCCAGCGGTTCTCAACCTTTCACAGGGGTCGCCTAAGACCATCGGAAAACACATGTTTTCGATGGTCTTAGGAACCGAGACACCGCTCCTCTATCCATCTCCAGGACCACATGCAGAAACGCCCACATACGAGTACCCGGCGACCCCTGTGAAAGGGTCATTCGACCCCCAAAGGGGTCGCGACCCACAGGTTGAGAACCGCTGTCCTAGGCTATGAAATACATATGCTGATGGCTATAAGCACTTACCTTTCAACTGATGTGTTTGGAAGTGATTTAACTAGAACAGGGCTTAGGACCTTGTTTTTAAAAGTCATTTTCCTTGGCAAGCCATCGTTTTCCCTTATCTAAATGTCACCTAGAGGACAGTTTCTAGAGCATCATCACATACCAGTACAAAACAGGAAGAAATAATTTAGGCCCTTATTTTCTGCCACGCCCCCAAATGAACCTGTCATTCAACTCAGCTTGGCCCGAGTCTTACCTAAAAACTGTTTTTAATAACCTTAGCGTGTTTTGCTGCCATACTTGTATAGTTTTTAATTTATGTTTTTTATGGAACTGGTGACAGAATTCTTTCCACCTAGGATCCCAAACTAATGAAAGATTTGGAACCTGCCTTACACATTTTGTGTATATGAGCCTTCTTGCCTTCTCCAAACTTAATTCAGGCATATATCTATTAACTTTCTAGCCCTCATGATTAAACAGATGTCAGTTACGTATCTTAAAGAATCGAGAAAGCTGGGTTAGCGAAACAGGGAAATTTTTGTCTGTTGGAGTAAGGATTGAGCGGAAGTACCTTAAGAAAATCATTCCTACATAGTTTAGTCCTTACTAGCAACCAGTCAAGATTGCGGCAGGCACAACGGGGGTTGTGCGCGCGGTAAGGAGAGCCTGACCCATGGTAAGAGGAATCCACCCCTTTTGGCTGCTGCTTTCTCTTTTCTCCAGAGCTTCTCTGACTTGGCTTGCCTCCCGGCTGGAACCTGAAACGAGGAATTATTCTCAAACCTGAAACGAGGACATATTCTCAAACCTGAAACGAGGACATATTCTCAGAGTGCAGTGCCCGCACTCTGTTGGTGGCCTCCTGCCTTTGACCCCGGAGCTTTATTCTCCTTAGCGTTACCCGTTACCGTTGGCTGTGGGGCTGGGATTCCCAAGCAGGGGAAGAAGGGCTTCCGGGTGGGCCCGCCATCTTCTCCGCCACCCGTTTTCTGTTGGTGATGATATTTCTGTGGCGGGTCTCTCCCTCCTAGTCCCATAAAGTTGCCCATACCTCTCGCCTGCCCGTCTTTCCACCCGCCACTTACAAAGGAGAGCATACAAACCAACCCAGCTTTCCAGCTTCTTCCAAACAACTGCTGCTGCTGGGGACGGGGAGCTGCCGGGGGATGGGGAGCTAAAACGTAGTGAGCTTTTTGTGCTCTGCCTGTTACTCCTACAATCTGAGAAAAGAGCCGGAGAGAGCTGGATAGTAATAAGATTCTAGTAAAGTAGAATGCTACCAGGGTTTTTTTCAGTCACTTGCAGCTTAAATTCATTTCTTTGACTCTCACAACTACAGTTGGAGTTTTAAAATGGCTTTTTTTTCTTCCTAAAGAACAATGTGTATGCTGGAGGTAGCATGGCAAGAAGGAACACATACGTCTGTGAACGGACCACGGATCGGTACACGGTGCTGCAGAACGGCAAGGACAGCAGGTAAGTGTCGGAGTGCCAGTGAGTGCCACCTCTGTCCTTGTCCTACCGAGTGCTCTTGCTAAAACAGAGTGCTCTTGCTAAAACGCCTGTTTTAGCGATGGGTCGAGAGGAAAGGAAAGACAAAGCAGTGAGATGCACCCAACTGTTCTTACTAAGGCATCTCCTTCTGTACCAGAGGGGGTGGGTGGGAAAATATTTCAGAAAAACAGGAGGTAAATACCTTGAGAAGCTCCAAATAAAATATTTTTTACAATAATTTCCTATTTGCCTATAACAAAGCAGATCATACCGTCCTAGTCTGATCTTCATCATTTGAGTCTTATTCTCTTATCTACCTGCCGCTTCCTTCTTACCTGCTTCCCTTCCCCCCACCACCAAGTCATCACTCATCCAAATAGGAAGGGCTTCTAAAGAAATGCGACCAGCTCAGGTGATCATTGAGAATGATAAAGTTCTCAAAGTGTTTTATCTTAGACAATGATAAACTGTATTGTTTTTATTATTTTAAAATTTGAGCTTTGTCTCATCATGAGTTGTAACACAAGACTATTCATCAATCTAGTACAAAAGGCCAGGGGGCCTATTCTAATAAAATTCTATTCTCAGGTCTATCCCTAATCCTGTCAGTAGACTGGACAGGCCATTCTTACATTTGTTTCCTCTCCACTAATAGACATGTCAAGTAAGTGTTATTATGAGGCCTAGAAAGGTATCTTCCTTGCACATAACATCCTTTAGGCAAGAAAGATAATTGGGAATTGATTTCCAACTTGCTCTTTTTCCTATACTAAGCCCTAATCTGCAGCTCCTGTAATCTGCAACAGTTAGCCTATCGATTAATGGTATGAGCTAAAAGTGTTTTAATAATGTTTCCGGCAATAGTATTTTTGCTATAATTATGAATTCTTATTGTGTAATGAACAATGAACCACAGCAACACATCACAACGTGAATTTTGGAAAGTTAAATATGTCTCTAGTCATAATCATTTACCCATAAAAATCCTCTCAGATTCATATAGAGAGGACAAGTGTGTGTGACATCCTCTCCATGGGAGGTGGCGGCAAGTTCACCCTCTGCATTTTTAACAAGAACATTGTTTTGTTAATCATTAATAATGCCACTGATGTTAATTTCTTAAGTGCTTCAGTCATGAAAGATGTTAAGTCAATTTAGATTTTTAAAAGGCCTAGTTCTTAAATTCTAGTGAACGGCATCTTTTCTTATTTCTTCCATTTCCATGGTCTTCTCAACTGTTTTATGCCGGAAGCCTTACGGAGATGTCCGCGAGTAGCTTATCGTCTGCCAGCTCTGCTATGGCCTCTGCTGTCCCCTCAGCGCGACCCCGCCACCAGAAATCCATGTCCGCTTCTGGTCACCCTATAAAAGTTACACTGCCGACCATTAAAGACAGCTCGGAAGCTTACCGACCCGGGTAACGAGATGGCTGCCTTTCGTTGGGTTTGTCGTTAGGAGTTTTTAAAAATACCGCGCCGTGTGAAAAACATGCTGGGCCACCTGCCACTGGGAGCTTTGTGCAAAGGTGCAGGGTGTGTGGCAGAGGAGAAGCTGAATGGTAACATGAACTTACCGTACCTCCTAGCTGTTTTATAAAATGTTGTTTCTGATTTAATGCATTTTCTAGAGGAATTTTCTTGAAGGATTTTATTTTAAACTCATTCGTAAAAGTGAAGTGTTGCTGCCTAAGTTATCATTTGGTTTAATTGAGATGGTTTAAAAACCAAAAAATGACATTGGGAGTTGAGTCCTCTGTGCAGTCGTCCTGGCTCCTGGCGGTTACTTATTCTTAATAAACTGGCCTTTTTGTTTCCCTGTTGATGAAACAGATGCTCCTAAAGAGCCCTTTCAAATATAAAATTATATGATTAGTTTTTTCTAGTATTTGTCGATGTTAGGATTTCTCCACTTCCGGAGCATCTTAGTTAGGTTGTTACTCACGTTGGTGGAGTCACTGAGGCCGAAATTATAAATAGGGAGTGATCCCGTTGAAATGCTTTTGGACAAACAATACCATTCATGTTCCGCGTTGCTGAATGGTGTGGCGTGATGCTAGTTTTGAGCACAAGTGAAAGCTTTCTCCGTCGCTATGCTGGGTAATATATCTTCATTTGCCCCAACAGCACAACCCAGAGAGTGCCTGCTGCTTCTCCATCTGCTCACAGCATTAGCGCCACCACGCCAGACCGGACCCGTTTCCCCCGGGGGAGTTCCAGCCGAAGCACTTTCCACGGTGAACAGCTCCGGGAGCGACGCAGCGCGGCTTACAATGGGCCGCCCGCGTCGCCGTCCCATGAAACGGGTGCATTTGCACACGCCAGGAGGGGAACGTCAACTGGTATCATAAGCAAAATTACATCCCGATTCGTGCGCAGGTCAGTACCGATGTGCGGAGGCGTTTGGTGTCCTCCGGAAATTATAAAGGAAACCGGGTTTTTTTCTTTTATCCTGATAGTGATTTTTCCAAAATGGTTTCACGACTTTTTATTAGAGCTGCATTTTTTACAGAAGTTTGAAGGAAAAAATCGAGGAAGACAAAGTCTCTTTCCTTAAGAGAAAGAAGAAAAGAAAATGGACAGCATGAGAATTTAAAAATTCTATAAAATGGAGTGGAAAGAGCAAAACTTGACATCAAAACTGTGTTTTAACAAAAAGATGCACCTCTACTTAAAAGCCTTGATTTAGAAAAAGGAATAGTTTGCATTTATTCTTCAAATAATATTTCTTAAGAATACTTTTAAATTGCTCACTAATAATATATAGTTTTCCTTTTTTCTTTCTTGTAAAAGGCCTATAGACTGCAGTCACACAGATTACTTATATAATTTAACATCATTAAATCTTAACAGCAAAACATAGTAAACACAAAGTGAATACTAGTAAACTAATAAAATAGTAAAATTGCACCCTTTTCTAAAACATAAGCATAAATCAACATACGCTGATTGTACAAGTTGCTGAACACAGCGCAGGTTGATATGAACTTGATCTGTTACCAGGTCCTACTAAAAGCCTCGTGAAGTCCTGCGTGTACATAGCGCTGTGCTAGGTGCTGAGCAGGCTACAAAGATGAATGAGACAGCATCCCTGTCCATACAGTCCTGAGAGAAGCAGGCCTATAAACCACCAGCCATGGTGTAAAACCAAACGTGTGCTGAAGAACACGCGTGGGCAGCGTGCTGGGGGCTCGGGGGGATGCACGCTGTTCCCGTCTGGGGAGAAAGTTAGGGCTGCAGACCGGGTTGTTACTTGAGCAGATAAGAAAATACGGGTGAGAAATCATACTCGCTTTCCAAATATTAATTAAATACTTTTCGGTGTTATTAGTGTTCCTAGCATTTCAAGGAAGGGGTATGGAAAAAAAGAGGCAGCTCATGGACCAGTTTGTCCAGGATCACACAGCTGGATTTAAAACTTTAAAGACTCAATGCAACATGGCTTCCTAAGCAGATCAATCAATGATTTCGTCCCATTTGGGCAATTACCAGGTAGCATGACACCTTGCTGGAGAAGGACCTAGAAGCTCCCAGCAGCGTCAGCATAACAGTGAGACAGTGGTGCTGGCCGACCCTCTGCTGGGCACTAGCAAGATTACCAGCAGCTCCAACTGTTGGAATTTGGATAACCATTTAAAGCCATTTTTAAAAGCCGGTTCTTGCTCATGGTTAAGCGAGGATTAATTTTAAAGTGGAGATAAAATAGGTTTTGAGTTCGATGCGTGGTTACTAATTGTGCATTACACATTGTGCAAAATATTTCTCTTTGCAATAAAAATGAAGATTCTAGAGGGAAATTAGGAACAATACACGAGAAAGAAGTCAGGACAGAATGTTAGAGCGCGAAAGTGCCATAGAGATAAGTCCGCTGGCAGGTTAGGATAAGGGATTGCCATAGAGTCGTTTAACAAACATGTGAAAACCTACTGCATGCTCAGCACTCTGCTAGGTGCTGTTGATCAGCAGTGAGTGATCAGGAAGGGATGGGGCCGCTCACTCCTGTGAGCAGCTCACTCCCTTACAACATCCCACACAGTGGGAACACTTTCTTCACTTGGCTTCTGGTCTTCCTCCTGCCACTGCAACAAGCGGTCCCTCCCCAGGCGCATTTGCTGGTTCGTTCTTTCTTTCTTTCCTTCCTTCCTTCCTTCCTTCCTTCCTTCCTTCCTTCCTTCCTTTCTTTCTTTCTTGCTTTCTTGCTTCTTTCTTTTTTCTTTTAGATTTTTTTTTAATTGGGG